CCTGAAGGTTAATCTTGGACAATATCTGATGATCGGCTCTTTTAAATGAAACCAGAGAGCGTTGACAGAGAGGAGAAGGTAGTAATGACTCAGCCTGTAACTGAAAATATGGATGGAGGACAACAGAGCTGCTTCATGGAAGAAGAACCTCAGCTTAGCCTGTTAGCCTTTGCGCTAGGGGTTCTTCTTCCATGAAGCAGCTCTGTTGTCCTCCATCCATATTTTCAGTTACAGGCTGAGTCATTTCTACCTTCTCCTCTCTGTCAACGCTCTCTGGTTTCATTTAAAAGAGCCGATCATCAGATATTGTCCAAGATTAACCTTCAGGGTGGATTTAGCTCCCTAGCAGCATCGCACCAATGACCTAGTTGATGTCATCATTTACCCAGAATGCTTTGCGTGTAAATAAAATGGCTCCATCCATCTTAAAATATATATTTTTAAAAATTGCAAACTAAACAGCCTACAGTATTTTTACAGTCTTTATTTTACAGGTAAAATAAATCTCTGTCAACGCTCTCTGGTTTCATTTAAAAGAGTCGATCATCAGATATTGTCCAAGATTAACCTTCAGGGTGGATATAGCTCACTAGCAGCATCGCACCAATGACCTAGTTGACATCATCATTTATCCAGAATGCTTTGCATGTAAATAAAATGGCTCCGTCCGTGTTAAAAAATATTTTAAAGAAAAATTACAAAACTAAACAGCCTACAGTATTTTTACAGTCATTGATTTACAGTTAAATATATATGTTTATCAAATAAAGTCTAATGTAACAACTAAGCTGATCCCTTTAAATTCCATCAAATGATTCATGAGATACAAACACACACATACATGCAATTACAGGATTTCCCATTGTCATGATAGGCAGGCGGTTCACCTTACTGCCTCCAGACATTCAGGCACAGAGTGAGGAGTTTGCAGCTCCTAGGTTATAAAAGGACAGTACTGGTCTTTACTGGGGCTCACACCCTTTTCTCTCGTGTTCTAGCCTGTGCTGTGCCAGCTTGTTGGCGCACAGGAACGACTTGTCACACTCCACACAGACAAAGATCCTCCCAGCACAGGTCTGCTCCTGGTGCAGCGTCAGGTTGGCCAGGTGGCTGAAGTTCTTGCTGCAGCCCGCACAGCTGTGAGGCCTCTGGTTGTTGTGGACGAACTGGTGCCGAACCAAACGGGAGGCCATGGCGAACGCCACGCCACACTCGGAGCACTTGTGGGGCCGCACGCCGCTGTGGATGGCCTCGTGCTCCGTCAGGTTGGAGGATTTGGTGAAGCACTTGGAGCACACGGAGCAGATGTACGGACGCACGCCCGTGTGGATCTTCTGGTGCTCGGCCATGCGACTGGCCAGGGCGAACGCCTTCCCGCAGTCGGGGCAGCAGAACGGCCTCTCTCCCAGGTGCTTCCGCTCGTGGCGCTTCAGGGAGAGGGGCTTGTTGAAGGTCTTCCCGCAGTGCGTGCACGGGAAAGGCTTGTTGTTGGTGTGCATGTTCCTCTCGTGCTTCCGCAGGTCGGAGGAGCGAATAAAATCCTTCCCGCACGTGCCGCAGGTGTAGGGCTTCTCCCCTGTGTGCGTGCGGATGTGCTTGCGGTAATCCGAGGACCAGATGTAGGTTTTAACGCAGAAGGGACAGTGATAGGGTCTCTCGCCCGTGTGCAGACGCTTGTGCTGCTGCAGCGTGCCCTGATGTGAGTACGCCTTGCCACATATGTCACAGATGTGAGGCTTGAGTCCGCTGTGAGTTTGCAGGTGACTCTGCAGGTTGCAGAGCTTCTTGAAGGCCCAGTGGCAGTGTGTGCATTTAAAGGGACGCTCCTCGGCATCAACTGCAATGCGTCTTTTCATTACGAATAAAAGCTGAGGGACTTTGTCGTCTTTGCTTTTCCTTTTACTTCTACTACTCTTATTGTCACTTTTGTTCGAAGAACGTGTTTCTTTTTTCTGGTTGATCGACCTCTGCTGTGCTTCGTTCTGGCTCTTCTTGATGTGTTTGGTGGATTGTTTCCTCTCCTCCTTCAAATCCACTGACAGCGCTTCATCGCGGTCGTGCATTTTATTGGTTTCGGTGTGTGTTGGAAGTTGCAACAACTCCCTGCCGTCGTCACGCTCGTCGTTCACGTCGACGTCCTCTGCTGGTGAGAGCTGAGCGAACTTTTCCACCAGAGGCCAGTTTGGTGTTTGAGGGTTCAGGTAAAGGATTCCAGTCTCGCCTCTCTCTGCTGGTGGGTTGCCACCTGGGCAGACTCCGTCAGACAAAGAGTTGGTGTTCTCGTTCTGACCCATGATGTGTCCACCTGGAGAAGAGTCGGTCACATCGAGGTTTTCTTTGCATTTCCTGCTTCTTTTTCCCACAGCTGTCCTGTTAGACATCTGCAGATTGAAATAACAGTTTTATTTTCCACACCTCGCACAAAGACCAACAGATAATTAGTAACATGTATCGGTATCAAACAGAGCCAACACCACATCGTTTGAATAACACCTCAATCATCAAACTTCATCACAAAAAATCCTCAAGCTTTTTTTTTATTGTACAATAAATAGTTTAAAAGACTGAACGTGTCTTTTAGAGGAACTTACCCTGAGTTCTCCCTGCAGACAGGTCGGGTCCAACATATGCCACAGAGATATACTAACCCAGGGTCTTGAATAACTTTAGGAAAGATGTCTGGTGGTCTTTTAGGGAGGGATTTGGCAGCAGCCGTCTGGGTCAGCATTTATCCTGCAAGTCAGCAGCAGCAAGGATATCTGCAGAAGTAGGCTCACCTTACCTTCCTGTCACTTAACGTACCAGCCTGTTTGTACACCCTTTAAAGTATTTGACACACATACACACACAGTTTGTTTCTCTATCCTCATGGGGACTTTCCATTGGTTTCCATTTGGCATCCCAAAGGAGATTAACATGTTCCATGCCAATATTATTAAGTTTGCAAAATACAACACAACAGCCACAACCACATTAAGGCAATATATATATA